ATACTATTGAGAACTTAAGGTATGTGAGTACATAGAGGTTGTGCACAATGCTGTCACCATAGCTGTATAAATCCCACTAGGGGCGCGTAGAATTTTTCCCGAAAGACCACGTAGATGTCCCGAAGGACCACATATAACACATATGTCTCAAAGGACCATTATGTCCCGAAGGACCACTATGTCCCGAAGGACCGCGTAGACCCTCGACTCTTGGCATGCCAACTATACCTATAGCTCTCATAACACATGACATGGACATTATCTTTTACCTCATTACACATTCACATATTCATATCACATAATCACGTAGTTTACTTTCACGTAGCATTTTCCATGAAATTCACATTATTCATCCTTTTCACATATGGTCACATCACATAGTTCTTTATCCCATTTCACATAGTTCACATATACGTTTGTTCTCATATTCATATAATATATTATTTCTTATCTTTTAACTTATATTACATATGCATTTAATCTTATGTCTTATTATCAATATCTCATAGATCACTATCATACAACACATATTTGCATATACATGTTCTCATACAACCCCTTCATTCAATTATAACATCCAATCTATCTTATTATACTAACATGTATTCATGACATTCATTTCACATACATAACATATCATATAGCATTCTAATAGAAGCACTTATGAGTCATATTATTTTCACATATATTTTATCATATATCTCATAATCACATGACCTATTAATATAAATACAGACATTTATATAGTTCAACATAAAAATGCATTCAACAATTAAACATATACATTTACTTATATACCATACATCTAACACCATATCACTACATGTTTATGCTTTAGTACTTATATCATATAATATCGGAATTTGACTCATCGCAAGTCTTAATTCCTTAACATAATGTACACTTACTATCATGTACTCACCTGGTCTCAAAGAACACTCTTAAGCTCTTGTTTTCTTTGCGTATCTTACTCTGTCGACCTATCCGAACTTTGCTTTCGATCGATGTCTACACAATCATATATTTATACTATCAATATCCCATTGATATACTATAATCTATAATTTCTTAGACTGAAAGAAAGATTTATTCCATTTCCCATTGAAGTGCATCGGTGCATTCTACAGTGCATTGATGCATTCTTTAACAGGTGCATCGATGCACTACCATGCATCGATACACAATTTACATTTATGTTTCCATTTTAAGGGGATGCATCGATGCACTCCTCATACATCGATGCACCAACTGTACTCGATGTTTATTTATTTGAGAGTGCATCGATGCACACAACCCAAAATTACATTTTGAGCCTGAAAATATCTTGTTTTAACCCCCAAATTCTACTTATTAATCCCTCCTTATACCTTAAAACTTATCCATACATATTTAAACCTTCTTATAATACTATAATATTTCACCATATCTTATAATTCACCATAATTCTTGAATCAAAGAATTTCATCAAATTTTCCATGTGTTTTAAATTCAATTCTAACACCTCTAACTTCTTAATTAATCCTTTGACAAGTCAAATCCATCCTTAGAACTTCAAAAATCTCTTTAAATCAAGAATTCATTTCTCAACCCTTAATCAAATTTCCTTTCAAATTTTCTCTACTTAATGTTTTAAGCTTATATAAGCTTACCTTAAGCTTATATAATACCCAAATACTCCATCCCAACTTATAAATTCAAGAAATTAATCAACTGAAGCAAACTTACCTTATAGACTTGAGCTTGAACCCACGAGAAGAAGAAAGCAAGAAGAAGAAAGAAAGTTTCCAGATATCTTATTCCCACATGTTATCTCCTTAAATAAGGGAGATAAAATATCTTTCAAACTAAATTACCATAATACCCTTATAATCCTTTCATATTTACCATTTAATCCAATACTAAAATATCCTTATTAAATCCTTAAACTTTTCAATTTTCCTAAATTGATCCCCAAATTTAAAAAAATTCATTTTAGTCACTAACCCAGATTTGGGATGTTACACTCTTGACTATTAAAATACAAATTGATCACTCAACTATTTATTATGTTCCAAACTCATCCTTTTTCTTTAAAAAATTAATGATCGTTTGAGCTGGACGTTAACATGTTGACTAAGATATGATAATTGTTTGATATTACAAGATTAAATTTTATTATATCTTAGTCAATATGTTAACGTCCAACTCAAATTGACGTTAATTTTTTAACGGAAAAGGACGAGTCTGAAACATAATGAATAGTTAGATAACTATTTTGTAACTTTTAATAGTAGAGGGATTCAACAAAGCAACTCATTATAGATGGATGACCATTTTATAACTTTTAATAGTTAAAAACTCAACAAAGCAATGTCTTATAATAAGAAGACCATTTGTGTACTTTACCCAATAAAATATTTTCATTCTCTTCTTAATTTCAATGCTAAGTTTTTCTATCTAACTAGAAAAAAAAAGGAGGGGAGAGTCTATTTTTTTCCCCGCATGAGGTGAATTTTCATCAAAATTGATAACATTTTGATCAATATTGAACATTGATGGGATGATGATATAATTAAAATAAAATATAAATATATCAAAATTGATTTAATTAAAAAATAGTTTAAATAAAATTAGAACTCAATAAATAAGTATGCTGGGAAAATACAAATTATTAGAATAACATATACTCTAAACTACACAAATAGTAACTAATGTTTAAGTAAGTTTTTTATTTTCTCTATTGAAGTTTTAAAAATAACAAATTAGTCACTAACGTTATCAATTTATGACAAATCGATTACTTGCCGTTAACAATCGTTACTGCAATAACAGAATACTAATTAGACGCATTAACATTAACCAAAATGACTAAAAAAAATTAATTCAAATTAATCTGATCACCCCACTCAATAGATCTACCAAGACACAAACAGCCAAAAGTCCATGTAAACAAACCCTAGAAACCAGATCACGACAACCGACAATGTACTCGAAAATTCAAGGCATAGGTTGTCACAACCGCGCGCGCAACTTTGGCCTATTTAAACTTACATTTTACTATAAAACTTAAGTTTCTAAATTTCAAAATAAGTTAGTTGTATATAAAAGAATTATAGTTTAGAATTTTATTGTAATTTTTTGATAAAATTTAACAAATTTTTTCATTTAAAATATGCTATATATTAGAAAGAATAAGTGAAGTCGAAAATTTTGAATAAATATTTACAGGAAGCTTACCATGAGAAAGAAGTTAATGCCTAACTTGGGGAGCAGGAACCTTAAAAGCCTGTTTGACATGAGAAAATTAATGAAACTTCAGAAATCAGATTCATAATTTCCATACAGAGCTGAAATGGTTCGGGATCCTTTAGCCTTCTAATACTGTGTAGCTCGAGTTCGATAGCACCATACAAGTACAACTACATCCTAAATAGAGAAAAAAAGGAAGCTGCAAACATTAACCTCGAAGCTGTGTCCAAACTCCAAATCAACACTGACGTGACTTGGTAACAACTAACAAGCCCTCGTCTTTTCACGTTTAGAGATTGCTTCTAACTGTAATGCTTCACCTAGAACCAAGAGAATAAGGTGGCGAATACGAACGGTCCCTCCTTGATCTTCCACCATGAGGAGAATATCTTGGAGAGTAATCACGACCTTGATATGGTGACCGTCTTAGAGATCGACGATAAACTTAGTCATTTACGGCCGCCACGATACCTTCCACGATCACCACAGCTATCTTTTCCCCACAGTCATTTGAACGGATGATAATAGTACAAACGAAACAAGCCAAGATCAGAAGAGGAATAATAATAAGAAGAAGAGTCAAACGATCGGTCGAAAGGTGTCCTGTATGATCAAATATGCTAAGTTAATCGGTTTAACGTGACACGTCAACATTCCATTATTGTACTAAAGGGAACTGGTCGATTTGTTATAAATCGATAATATTAATGACCGATTTGTTAGTTTTGAAACTTTAGTAGAGAAAATGAAAACTCACTCAGACATTAATAACCATTTATCTAGTTTACCCTACTCTAAACTCCAAAAAGCTATAACAAAATTTCAACTATTTGAAATTATTTATAATAATTAAGATTAATTAATGATCCCAAACTTGAGGTTTGTAAAAGGGCTGATGAGTTATTCAAAAAGAGAAAAGGGTCTGATATTCTTTTGTTTGGATGCTTACTAAGGGCACCTAATCAAAGTAATCTCCAAGCAAACTCGTAAGAAAAATCATGATTACCAATTGATTTATTAAAGTAATTTATTAGAAATTTTAAATAAAATTTAAAAATTAAATTTTAATATTATGAATAGATTAAGAAGCTTAAAATTATTTTTATAATAAATCTTTTTAATATATAATATGAATTATTCAATCAACAAATAAAGTATTTATAGTTATAAAATTGTTAAAGTTGTGATGAAATCATTTATGATCGATTAAATTTTTTTAGATAAATCTTAGGAGAGTATAAAATAATATCTACTCAAATACTCTTAATTCATTGATAATAAATATTTATATTCTTAAATACGCAGTATTTAAACCCGTAATTTCATAATTTCAAGGGATAATAAATTCGCTTAATTCATACAGTTTTAAACCAGAATTATAAATTTCAAAGTTAGTCTTCAAGTAAGTTATGATTTTTTGGGGGGGGGGGTAAAGTTGGTACATAATGAAATTTACCGTTCTAATTACCGCTACTCTTTGTAGAGCGACATTTGGGATTTTAGGCAGCAGGTGTTACCGTGACAGTGCCACATGTTGATTTTGTTTGGTGTCTTTGCTGAGTGGGAAAAAGTTCCCTAATCAGAATCCTAACAAATAGAATGAAAAAAAGGGATCTTTGTAGAGGAAAATGGAGAGTACTAAAACGCCTGAGCGACGACATATTCGATATCTTTCAAACGACAGCATTGGCCCCAGAAGATCCAACCCAAAGACATGGCCAGGGCTTAAATCATATGTTCTACAGTGGCTCTTGTCCTTCATTTCTTTCAACTCTTCCTTCGTAATTTAGGGTAAAATATCTTAGCGTATCAAAAAATTACCTTTGACGGTAAAAATGGGTGAAAAGAAAATCTGGGTTTACGATAACTAATCACATATATTATTATGGAACATGTTTGAGAAGTATTATGGGACACGTAAATGAAGGGGACGCCACATGATCCGCTCTCAATTTGCATACCAAAAAACAAAATTAAACTCGACTTTTTTGGGTTTAAAATAATGTCATAATAACATGCCACCTTATGTTATCAAATTGTCCTAAATGTTACACATGTGATGTGTTATTACTTCATAATTGTGAAACTTTTGGCAAAAAAAAAAAAAAAACAAGAGCCTGATAAAAATGGGAAAATCATACCAAAAATCTCGACAGAAAATGGGAATAAAAGATGGCAAAACAGTTTGTCCTTACTATCCATTGTGTTAACCTATAGCTATTTCCTATCCGTTAATACAAGGGTAACTAAAACATGGGTTAAAATATGGTACGATTAAATTTTTATATATTTTTGCTATGTCGTGCTTTGTACAGAATATATTGGTATAATGGTGACATTATTAGACTCTACGTTATCCTGCCTATGAAGTTAAAAATCTGTACCATCAATATGAAAAAAATGAACACATATAATAATAATATATAGAAAAAATTGATATAGTTAGCTAAGCTATATTTGCTAATTGATTACGTGAGTGACCTTAGGCTGTTCGAAAATTACATCACCTTTTGCTCCCATCTAAGCTATATAAGTGCCTATAATTGGACTTCACAACCATATACTGAAAGGGATTTGCCACGCACACGCATTTAAAATATATATTTTTGATCAATTTAGTGCGTCTATAAGTAGTATTTGTTTAAAAAATTTTAATTATTTGACGATGAATGTTTATAAATTCTTACAAATGTCACGTTCAAATCTAAGATCTCAATAAATAACAATCATCTCTTTAAACATTAAAGTCATTTGGTTCATGCCACATTTAAAATATTTCAAAATTTTTGAATAAATATCTTTTATCATTGTAATATAGTTGAATTTTTTTAATAATTATATATATATATATATATGTCATTTTTTATAATCAAGACATTATTTTAACATCGTAAATCAGAAAAAAAAAGATGTTAAAAGTAAATTACTTTAGTGTATAAATTTATACTTAAACCCGTTAACATATAGTTAAAAGCTCTTAAAAGTTACAGAAATATGATTTAATGAAAATGTATAAGACTTTATTTTAGGATGAAAGCTATGGTGTGAAAAGAAAAATCTATATATAAGTCCAAAAATTGACCAAATTTCTGAAATAATCCACCTTCGTATATTCATCTATCAATTCAGATCCATCCCACTCATCCCAGTGACGGAGCTACTTGTTGTGTGGGTCCCAAATTTTAAAATTACTAAAATTAAATTTTGTTTCTCTATTTTTTTAAAATATTTTAAAATTGTAATTAACTTAAAATTAAATGAATTAAATTTGATTTCTATTTTATCTTAAATTTAAATATGTTCTAAATTTTATCAATTTCAAAATGAATCAAATTAGACTCTATACTCTTAATATTTAAATTTTAAATTAATAATTTACATGCAATGCAGGCACAATTATGAAGAACAAGAAAAGGATGATAAAATGAGAAGATCAAATTAAGGGCACATCATTATAATTATTTATTCCTCTCCCATATGTTCAATTCACAACCTTTTTTACCCTTAGATGATTGAAACTAACCTTTGATCTTCATATGCAAATTTTGATGAACAAAAATGGAGGAAAATTAATTCATATAAGTAAGAAACTTTAAAGAAGTCGAAATTGAATTACTTTAGATTTATTACTTGGCTAGTTTAATTTCATCAAGCACTCCTGCATCTCCTCTTGAATTTGCGAGAGCTATCCAAAGTAAATGGCTCCGAGTTGGATCGGAAAAACGACTCTACCTCTTCCCTTCTCGTGGTCTCGAAGAACTGCACCTCTGATAGCTTCCTCTTGAGCGCAAACTTTGATCGCACTTTCTTCTTCGGCGTCGGCGGGCAGCTTTGGATGGTGGGTATTTTGTGATCACTCGACGTTGGCGTTTTACACTCTTCTTCCCTCGCTGCCAAACCTCTTTCTTCTTCTTCTATTCCATCTTTTTCAATCCCTCCTTCTTGTCGTTGATGGTGGTGGTTTTTTTGCAGAGTTTCTTGAAGAATATTTTCACGGTGATCCTTGGACATGGAGGTGAAGATAGATTATTGGGTCGAGAGATTTTTTTTTTGTTAAAAAAATTTTGCGGCCCCTTGTTTCTTTATAATCTTTTTGAAACATCATATATATATGTATGTATACACAAATTTGGCACCTTCATTTATTTGTATTTTGTTTTTCACGCTTTGTATACCCTTTCTTCCACGTTATTCCTACCTTTGGAATTAACCATTAAAGCTTCTTTCTAATCACGACAAGGCTGTGATCTTACTGTAATGATGTCCACTAAAAGTTACTGCAATGAGAGGGAAACTTATAGCATACAACATTATATACTCACAGCTCAAATCCCGAAAACGGATGGTTATAAATTGACATTTATTAAGATCAGCCTGTAACTCTAGTTTCACTGTTGATAGACATGTAGGAATAATTATAATCTAGTACTTGAGTGTAGTGTGATGGGGAAAATAAGATTAGAGTAGGGGTGTAAACGAGTCGAGTCGAGTTTAAGTATTGTCGAGTTCGATTCGAACTTGAAAACTTTAGATGTAAGCTCGACTTAAAAACTCGAGAGCCTAAAATTTTTAAGCTCGACTCGAACTCGAAAGAAAATATTGAAACTCGACTCGAACCCGAAAATGCTCGAACTCAAAAAAAAAATTTAGGAGCTCGATTCAAGCTTGATTCAAGCAGGAACTCAAACTCGAACTTGAGCTCGGTTCAAGCTCGATTCAAGCTCAAACTCGAACTCGAATTTGAACCTACAAAAATCTTATATTACATTTAAAATATATAAATAATTTTCCCTTTAATCAACCATCACCAATACATTTTTTTTATAATATGAACTCATTTCAGAAACTTTATATGATGCATACAAGAGTAGTTATGGTTGTAGAACATGTTATAAACATATAAGATCAAACATGCGCCCACAAAAGGCACATTTACAATCCTCTCCAAAGCAAAACAACAACTTTTGTCATAAAAGTGTGTTTCAAAACTCAAAATACAAAGGCAAATCTTCCATAGAAAACACGAAATCCAGCAACAAAATATTCTAATACTGTTCATGTACACAAAATCCAAATTCACAAAAAAAAAATAACAGTAACATGGCCAAGCTTTAATACATAGCACCTATAAAAAAGAGTAAAAGACAATAAATAATAATAATAATTCTATAAAAAATATGAAATCATTACAAATATGAAGTAAAAAAACACAAGATTAACAAATTCAAATATTAAACCTTTTAATTTGTCACATTATCGATTCTTTCGAAGGAACTGATATAATAATTTCTTTCGGTTGTTTGTCATCATTTTGCAATAATTTAAAAACTCAAATAAGTCTACATATATTTAAAAAAGTAAACAAACTCTGTTATAAGAAAATACATTTACCTTATTTTTTCTTTTCATTCCATGAAGGGATCTACACCAATCACCTGCACACATCAACATTTGAACTGTTTCTGGACATCAGAATATTGAATAATTGCCTTTCTCACATTATCATCATGCACAAAGAACAAACATCCTAGACTTTCTCACAATAACTAGAATTTACTAAAACCCAGAAGCTCCGAAATGAATATTAGAATTTTCAGCTACCGCAAGATACGTCAATCGATAGCAAAACAGTTCTTTTATCACATAAAGGTTGACCTTATCAAATCACAAACTTCACAAATGGTTTGACATTGTTAAGCATAGGGATCCTGACGAACAATAGGCAGAGGGAACAATGCCATATATAAGGCTACTATTGATATACCAAACCAAAATCATTGGTCGTTCAACACCACCTAACATGCTTCATTATCCATATCTTCAATTGAAAAAGAATATATATATATATATATATATATATATATATATTAAATTAAGACATCAGAATATAGAATAATTGCCTTTACAATCGTAAATGATCAACGTATATTTTGTTATTTTACCTTCCACTAAGTCTAGGAGGGCCTAATTTTGCCAAAGCTCTTTCCACCTCTTCACTTACTTGAAAAGTTCCAAGCAGACATAAAAGGAAACACAAGGAAAAGAATATAATCCAAAGGGTAAAATGATGGACTACACAATATACCTTAGAAATGTGCTAGAAACGGTTTTTCTAAATTGCGCTCATAAGTGCTACAGAAAAGGGTCATTTTAGAACCATCCAACTGAGAAAAGGATAAAAGAAAGAAAAAGAAATGAGCTTGGATCGAAACTTTAAAGAGACTGCTAAGAAAACTCTCTTTATTATATTTTAATTATCGTTGAGATTAAAGCAAAGGATTCAATTTTCAATCTGGGTTATTGATTTTTGTTGTGAGAAAAAGAAAGAAAAACTAGCTATGGCTGAAGTTTTGGGGAAGGCAAATCTGTTCCCGACTGATCACTATAGTCAGAATAAGAATTTAGAAGGTGGAGCTTGTTTGGTTCCTAAGAAAATTTCTGGATTTTGTTTGAAAAAGAATAGAAAAAGAAAGGAATAGAACCCTATATAGTATATCAAACCACAACGATATAATATAACCTATCAACCACCCAAAACAACGACTATCAACCAGAATAGAAAAAAAAAACATTCGACCAACAAAAACCATCAGTGGCTAGAGAACCAGTAAGTAAAACCTTACCTTCTCGTTGATAGGAGCTTGCCTTTGTCGTTCGGAGTCTTGGGGGAGCGTTTAGGCCACGGTGGTTGTGGGTTTCTGCTAGGGCTGCAAGTAGACAAGGTTTGAGAGGAGAACGACGAGGGGGGAAGTTTTAGCCAGGGAAAGTTTGAGGGGGAAATGAATTAGGGTAAGAGTTTTTACCCTAGATATCTTGCTTTAGTGTTCCTTTAATTTGTGCTTGTTTTCAATTGTGTATTGTAATTTTAATTATTTGACATTGTAATCCCTTAGTTGGCTTGTTTAATTTAATGAGTAATTTCTACTTTGTATGCCTATTTTCAGTTTTACATTGTTTTAGTCCTTCATGACATTTTTAAAATATGAGTTTAAGTTATTAACAGTAGGTTTAATCTTATATTGTTTCATCTTAATGTATGTGCATTTGCATTTCATTCGTATGCATGTATGTATCGTGTAAGCACACTTTAGTTTAGGTAATAATTTAGTCCATGTTTAGGATTGTCTTCTTTAAGTAGTTGTGTATAACTTAAACCCTAAACTATAAAACTTAAACCCTAAACCATAAATCCTAAACCCTAAACCCTAAACACTATCACATAATTATAAGGGATGAGATGTCTTAGTTGTATTATAGATTTTTTAATATATTTTTAAAATTTTATAATTATCAATAATTTTTTTTTGTAATAATGTAATTTTAAAAAATCTAAAATTATAATATAACATTTTTTTCGAGCTGCTCACGAGCTTTTCGAGTCGAATATCGAGTAGCTCGTTTCGGTTCGTTAAGAAATCGAGTCGAGCTCGAGTCGAGTCCATTCGATCCGAGTATTTATTGAGCATTAATCGAGTCGATCTCGAGTAACTCGCGATCTGTCTCGTCTCTTTTACAATTTAGTATGTGTCTGCACCTGTCATATCAATGTATCTCTCTTGCGCTTGTCTGCATGTAAAACTACGGGCATAGGATACCGTTTCATAATTCCGCCCTTGACAAAGACATATGCACAATTATTCCCACTCACGTATTAATTTATACTCTAAATAAAACTCACTCCACCTGCGAAACCCCATTTCTAACTATAAAAATTACTATCTTTTTTACCATCGGTGACTGTAAAAACTACAGAAAGAAACAATTTTACATGTGTGCAAGGCATAAGGGAATATAGGGTCAAAGAGTACTCCCAAATAAGCAGTTTCCTTCTCTCTTCTTTGTTAGACATTTTTGTCGTCTTCTGATTTTTTTTATACTTTTTAAGATTGTACCAAAAATTTGAAGGATACACATAAAAATACGTAAGATTGTGTTGAATTTAATTATTTGCTACTGTGATGGATGAGATGCAGCCAAGTTCGGAAGTTGAGGCAATTGGTCCCAAAGGAAGGCCCCTCGCTAAATTCTAAATCCCCTCTATATTATTCTTGTTTCACCTGTTTGACTTTTACTCTATATATTTGTAGTCCAACTCTGATCCTTTTTTCCCATTTATTATGATTTAGTATTAACTTAATTTTAAAATTATTAGAAATAAAACAAATTTTATTACTTAAGAGGCACTTTTGAATCCTTAACACTGTTGGAAACAGAAAGCTTCCGAATTTTAAAAACACGAGACATCTTCAACTAAATGTGCTGCATTTGCAAGAGGTTTATAATGAATTATTCTATTTGATTTAAATTTGAGTAATAGTATACATATAAAAAATAAAGTCTAAATAATTTAAAAGGTAAATTATACCGATAGTCTCCTATATCTTATGAATTATTGATTCGTTCGATTTAAATATATGATATTATTGATCCGTCTAATTTAAATTTATCGGCCGTTAACCCATTAACAAAATTATTACGTCACAATTAAAAAAAATAAAAAAACCATGTGATCCCCACTGCCCCTTCCTCTTCTTCTCCTATTAACCACCCACATCATTTCAGACAAAACCATGAAAAAAAATAATAACAAAAACCCCCATGTCGCAGCTCTAGTCCTTGGTCCTTCTCCGACGAACATTGCTACACCTTTTTCGATCGAAACGTCTCTGGTGGTGGTGTCGGCTGATGAAGAATTGGGATGAATTCGACGAGAGGTTCCTCGAAAAGAAAAGAGTATCAGTTTCATCTTTTATTGCTTAGCGGCCACCACTCGCCGTGATGATTATTATCACTTCCTTGAGAAGATAAGTTGAAAACATGGCATTAGGCGACGTATTATTGCTTTTGAAATGAATTGTTTTCTTCTTTTTCCTCGTTTTGTGTCTCGTGATGTTTTTCTCTTTTTCTTGTAGAACCCAAATAGTGGTGGTGGTGACACGTCGTCATCGTCTTGCACGTTGGAGCTGGCAGGGCTGTACTGCAAGTGGAGAGGCAAAACTGAGAAAGAACTGGGGGGAGGGGGAAGCCTCACCGAACACGTGTAGGGAGAGTAACTGGACGAGATTGTCCAAGCTTTGGAGGCTCAGTGTTAAACATTACAGTAGACAATGCTTGAAGCAAGAAGAAATATCAGAAGAAATTCTATTGATCTTGATCAATTTACATTTCACCTAAGCTTGCTTACTTATAGTCAATTCTTAACAAACTTCAACAGACTAACAATTATTCCAAAAAATCGTTCCCTAACAGACTTGCCACGTATACTAACAACATTCACTACCTACAACCTTCACGCAATGCATGTGTTGCATTACCATACGCACAGCACACTCAGCTACCTTATGTATATCAACATTCTCTCCGCTTCTTCTTCTCCCTTCCTTAACACAACATAACATGTAGTTTTTCTCAAAACTGTTCAAATGTTGGCCTGGTCAGTGGCTTGGTTAGACCATCGGCCACTTGAAACGCATCAGGGACATAACTGACTCGAAGATGACCAGCTGCAATCTTCTCTCGGACAAAGTGAACATCCAATTCAACATGTTTGGATCTAGCATGACATACTGGATTGACACTCAACACAACAACACTTGTGTTGTCACACCAAATAACAGGTTCATCAGATAAGGTGAACCCAAGATCATAAAGCAACGCAGCAAGCCATATAACTTCTGCAGCTGAATCAGGAACGCTCCTGTACTCAGCCTCCATTGTCGACCGCGGGACTGTCATCTGTTTCTTGGAGTTCCACACAACCAGACATCCTCCAAGAAAGACACAGTATCCCGTCATGGACCTACGATCACTTGCATCACCAGCCCAGTCGGCATCAGAAAAAGCTTTGAGATGTAATCTAGTATCACTGTTCGAAAATACCAATCCATAATCAAGTGATCCTGCCAAATAGCGCAGGATGCGTTTTACTGCTACCAAATGCACTTCTCGTAGGGACTGCATGTACTGAGCAGCTTTATTGACAGCAAACGCAATATCCGGTCTAGTATGACACACATACAAGAGAGCCCCCACAATGTTGCGATACTCCCGAGCATTAGCCAACAATGCACTATTGTGATCAGTAGCTTTTGCAGCAGCAACCATTGGAGTGCAAACGGGCGTTGCTTGACTCGTATTTGTTTTCTTCAACAATTCACAAATATAGGCTCGCTGACTCAGTACCAAACCAGTGCCAATTCTCTTAACTTCTATTCCCAGAAAATAAGACAACTCACACAAATTTTTGAGTGAAAAACGAATATTGAGCATACGAATGACCTGATCAACAACTTCAGCAGATATCCCTGTAATGATAATATCATCGACATACACTAATGCATACGTGCTGCATTCATCTTGAAGCCTAACAAAGAGTGCCACCTCTGCCTTGGATTCAACAAAACCAAGCTTTAACATACTAACTTTAAGTTTGTCATTCCAATTACGCGGTGCTTGGCGAAGACCGTAGAGCGCATTTTTCAATTTGCACACTAATGGAGTACCATCAGAGGCACATTGTTCAAATCCTGGAGGCTGCTGCATATACACGTCTTCATGCAAATCACCATTTAAAAAAGCATTGCTGATATCTATTTGTCTTAAAACCCAGCCTCGAGCAACAGCCATGGTTAAGAGCATATAAACTGTCGAGAATTTCACAACTGGCTAAACGTATTTTGGAAGTCAAGGCCAGGAACATGTGTGAACCCTTTTACGACTAGGCGAGCTTTTTATCGAAGCACAGACCATCAGGGTTTCGTTTGAGCTTAAAAAGCCACTTGCACCCCACCACATTTCTGTCATCAGGTAAGGGAATAAGTACCCATGTGTCATTCTCAAGTAAAGATGAATATTCAGCATGTACTGCTTCAGTCCATACAGCAGATTGAAGAGCTTCTTTAACCGTGGTTGGGACAAAATCATCAAAAATGTGGTAAGCACTTTTGGCTTAAATATGCCACACTTACTGCGAGTCAGCATGGGATGTCCACTACGAGCTGCAGGTTCTGTTCTGTCACCAGTCAGCGATTGAGCATCCTCAGCAACCGCAAGACCTCCCTAACCAAGGTCTGGAACTTCAGGCATAGAAATTGACTCAACATCTGACACTGAGTGTGTAGTACAGTGACCAAAATCATCTACAGGTAACTGAGTAACACCTGGAACTTGAGCACCACCAATACTCAGCTTATTGGTATCCATAACTATTTCAAGAGGCCGACTCATAGGCAACATAGATGATGACTGATTGTCCGTGTTAGTATTGGCAAATGGAAAATTCCACTCATCGAACTTCACATGACGAGACACAATGACACGCTTATCATGCGTTAAACAAATAAAGCCTTTATGTTGAGGGCTAATACCCAAGAATGTACACGGTCGAGATCTAAAGTCAAGCTTATGAGCATTGAACGGTCTTAGATGAGGGAAGCATC